CGGAAGAGCAAAAGAGCCGGCGGGAGATTCCGAGGTGGGAAGGAGAGGGGCGAGGCACCTCCGGAAGCGGAGCGCGCAGGACAGGGAGCGGCACCCCGGGGCGCGCCGGCTCCGCCAGGGGGAGCGGGCGAGTGGGGCGGAGAGCTGAGGGCAAGGGCGCGGAGGAGCCGGAGGCACGGGCGGCGGCGGTGGTGGGAGCTCCAGCTCAGGCACCTGCTGAAATGTGGGAGCCCCGGGTGGGGGGAGGCGTTGCCATGACGACCGAGAGGCGGGGTTTCGGCTTAAAGGCGTCCCCCTCCTTGAGACCTGGGACAAATGCCCTCCCCTCCAACACACACACACGTGCGCACACCCACGCCGGAGGCTGGCTGAAGGGAGGGGGCATCCTCCGAGCCGTGCCCTGCCCCCTCCCCAATCTGTCGCCCGGCCCCGTCTTCCTCCCCGACTAGGGTGCTTCGCTGAGTCCTGTTAGGCCACTGCAGCTCCTCTCCGATCTCTGTGTCTGATTGTGTCACTCTGTTCCATTGCACAAACTTTGTATTAGTGCTGGGGTCCAATGGTGAGCAGGGAGGCTTGGTGTCTCAATTTTTCTGATGCCACCTGAGTCTCGATTTCTCTCTCTAGGCTTCTGTGAATTTGCACTTCTAGGTCTCCCTCTGGGAGTGTCCATTTCCCTGGGTCTCTGTTCCTTTCCCTAGTCCTGGCGCTCTCTCTGTCTCTCTGGGTGGGCCTGGGTTCCTTTCCTTATCTCTGAGAATTTCTGTTTTTATTTTCCTGTTTTCTTCGCTGTGTATCTCCATTTATGTCTGTCACTCATCCTGTGACCCCCCCCCCCGGGGCCTGGTGTGTGTCTCTCTCTCACTCCATGTCTGTCGCACTGTGAATCAGTCTCCCTCTGTCTCTCCCCATCTCATAAATTCTTGCATTTCTGTCTCCCTGAATCTCTTCCTCTCCCTGTCTCTTTGGTCTCTCTGGCTCTGTGGATCTCTGTCTCTCCCTCCCTCCGTGTCTTTCTCTCTGAGAGTCGATCTCTGTCTCTCTCCCTGTCTCATTTTCTATGTCCTCTTCTATTTCCCTCGATTTCTCTCCCCTCCTCCCGTGTCCGTGTCTTTGTAGATGCTTTTGTCTCTGCCTCTCTCCCTTCCTGTGTCTCTACGAATCTCGCTCTCCGCTCGTGCGTGCCTCTTCCTCCTTCTATATCTCTCTGTGCCTGTCGCTCTCTCTGACCCACTCTCTGGCTCTGTCAATCTCTCTATCGCTGGGGGTCTCTCTCGGAATGTTTAAGTTGCTCTCTCTCCCTCTCCCTCTCCCTCTCCCCTTCCCAACTCTATCTTTGTCCCTTCCTCACCCACTCTATTTATCTCTCTGGCTCTGTGAATCCCTCTCGTCTCTGGGGTTCTCTCTCTCCCTCTTTCCCCCGCTGGCTCTGGAATACTCTGTGCATCTCTGTCCGGGGATTGGGAGGGTCTCTCCGAACGTTGGCCCGGTCAGGTCTCCTCCTGTCTCTCGCCTCAGTCGCCCCACCTGAGTCTCTTGCCTCTCTCTGGTCGCGCTCCGTCCCTCCCCCAGCTCCCGAGCGCTTCCTAGTCCCGGCTCTACAGGTAGACCCGCGCTGTTGCCAAGGACAACCACGGCCCGCCCGGGGCTGCGGGGTGCAGTGTATTCTGGGACTTGTAGTCTGGGCCTGCCGATCAGCTGTTCTCGCAGCGCGACCGAGAACTTTCTCTCCCGGCATGCCCCGCGAAGCGGGATGGCCCGCTGAGGCGGAGCCTGGGGACTCGGGCCGGCCGCTACATCCTCTCTGCGACTTTTGGGGGTCGGGGTCCAGCTTCTGGAAGCCGAAGGGGAGATAAGAGAATCCGAGTACTCTCCTAAACCCCAAAACATGGGGTCCACTGGCTTTCCAGCCACCTCCAGGCGTCCGCCGTACCCCAGGAGAGAGGATAGGGGGCCGGGGTGGCCCCGAAAACTGACCTAGGAATCCCACGGCGCTCTATTCTAGTTCTGCTTGGGTTCTTTCCCGCATCACCAGCATATCACCCCAAGGTTCTACAGCTGTTCTGTCTGGTGCCTTCTAGAAGGGGTTTAAGCGTGGGATGGGGGAGGGGTGGGGTGCGAGACGCCCTTCGACAAGCTAGGGATTGGTGTAGGTCAGAATTCTGGGATGGACACCGCAGACATCGAAAGGATTTTCCTCACTGAAAAGACGTGCGCCTGCGCTAGTTAGTCCTTCCCCCTGTTCCAGCGGGACCCTGACCTCCCTTGCAATATATCTTGCCAATTGCTTTTGCGGGTGTAGACACACAAAGTGGGTTGCATGATCCTTGATTTTTCCCAGAGTCATGTGTTTATGTAGTTGTGATTGTCTTGGAGAAACCGATAAGATGACCTTACGTGGGACAGAGATTCATGGCAGGAGTAATTCATGTGATCTTCATCGAAGTGTTTTATTGACCACGTGTGTCAGGGAGCTTAGAACTAAGGGTAAAATGGAGCTGAGTGGGAATATAGGCAGGGTCAGATCCCAAAGGCCTTGACTGAGGGGCTTTGGTATTACCTGTAGGTAATGTGGAGTGGGATACGGAAGGATTTGAGCAGAGGGGGACAGGATCAGATCTGAATGTTGGAAAAGGAAAGCATCCCTCTGGGGCCAGGGTGGGCTGGAGGTAGGATGCTCCAAGGAGGAGGCTGGGACAGTAGCTCAGGTGAAACGAAAGGAACCTGGAGGAGGGGAGAGATATAAATAGGATTTAGGAGGAAGAATACAGTGTTTGATGACTGAGAGGGGAGATGGTAAGAAGTGGTGACTGGGTTCTCGCCGTGAGAAATGGGAACCTGAAAGCATTGATTTTGGAGGCAAGAGGCTGCACTCAGAATGGGACACGGTATTCCTGAGGTGCTCGTGGGACTCCAAGGAGGGAGAAATCTTGTTCATTTGTATCCTAACCAGCTCTGCTCATTTGAGAGAGAGTAATGTGTAAGATCCAGACTGTTTTTTTCTGATGGGGCCAAAGCTGTCTTCACCCCAAGGCCCTTTCTCCTACCAGACCCAGCAACCCCGGCCTTGCCCTCTCTCTTGGAGCCCTCCCCATTAATAAAGCAAGCACAAGTCATTCTTTTATCTTTATATTGGGGTTTAAAAAAAAAGAACATTATGGATGTGGGAGAAGGGACAAGGCTTCTCTCTATGACTGACAGCAGGGGCTGATGGGAACCAGAAGCTCCAGGGAATTAAAAAAAAATAAAATATATATTTATACATTTATATAGATCATGTTACGCATGTGAGTCCCAGAGAAGCAGGAGGCAGCAGCAGAAAGCAACTAGCACGCACAAACACACGTGTGTGTACACCACACACTCAAGCAATGCAATTCCTTTGACTATGGCACAGTAGCAATTCCCACCCCCCAACCCACCCCACCCCCAAAATGTTTTCAAAAGAAACTTCCCTTTTAAGAAAAGGGCCACCCAGTGATTGTTGCTCTCGTGACCAGAAAGAAAAACAACAGGCTAACATCACCTTTAAGGCTGGCAGTGGCCATTTTCTTCTCTTCCCTGCAAAGGCAGGAGATGCAGTTTTTGACACTGAGGCTGGAGGGCCACATCACTGGCCCTTACAAATGCTTCAGACAGTTGTCTTCAAGACAATGCAGTTTTTTTGCCAGTGTTTTGATACCCCAGGGAGTAGTTGGGATGGAAGTCATACACCCCTTGCTTCCTTTAAGATGGCCTCTAGGCAGTGGGTTTTTAGTAAGCCTGGCAAAAATTCTGGAGCCGATCTCAGGCGAGGCTGAGCACCAGGCGGGGTCTAGGGACCAAGGGTCTATGCTTTAAGCCTCCCGCCCACTGGAAATTATTGACCTCCAGAGTTTTGTTTTTTCTTTTTAACTTAAAGGGGAGGTACACTGTACACCCCGCCTCCACTGGGAGAAAGGGAGCCCGATCCCTAGCTACCCACCCCCACCCCCCAGACACACACACACACATACCAACTAAGGCACAGCCAGGGCGGGCAGGCATGCTTTGGCAATGGGGCCCCTCTGGAGGCCCAGGGTATGAACAGCTGCAAAAGGGGTGTGTGATGTGGGGCTCAGCACCTTTGGAGGTGGGAGTGGGCTGTGGGGCAGAGAAGGACGAAGTCTCAGGGCTCCTGATCGATCAGAAGGAAAGTGGGAAGAGCTGGTCAGGCAACAGGCAGTTGAGAAAACAAACAGGACGAGCAGAAAAGAGCCCCAAAGCAGAACGTGTAGAAAAGAAGAGAGCAGAAAGAGAAGGAAGCCAAACAAGATGTGGTAACCAAACAGAACAGGAAGCGAGACAGAGCAGAAGGAGTGAAAGAAACAGAAAAGAGAGGAGGGTGAGCTGGGAAGGGTATGAGAAACGCAGGAGAGAGGCGAGCCGGGAAGAGGACCTCAGAGGGCCTCAGAACTTGGTAAAGAACCTCCACGGAGGAGAGGGAATCGGTAGCCCCTCCAGGGCAGAGCCTCAGACCCTGACGAAAACCAGGCGGGCCGAGTACACCAGGTCGGCCACGTAAGCCAGCAGGTTGATGGCTGTCAAGATGGCCACAGCCAGTCGGCGGTCCCAGGAGCACACGTAGTAGGTGTGCCTGTTGCTGCAGCTCACATCCATGGACCGCCAGGGCTGGCCGTGGTACTTCTCGTCGAACTGGTAGAGCGGCCAGATGACCAGAGCCGTGGCATAGAAGAGGACGGAGAGCAGGGCCAGCCCGGACAGGAAACTGGGGAAGGGGATGGGCAGCATGTTGGTGCAGTCGCCCAGGTTCAGCAGGGGATGAAGCAGATGGAGTACACGGCCACGCACCACTCTAGGGCCGGCTGGTGCTGGTACAGGTAGGGGTTGCTGATGAAGGCGAAGATGACGCAGGCCACGAAGGTCTCCAGCACCTTGAGCAGGCCTGGCACAGTGGCCATGTAGCCAGTGATCTCGCCGGGCCGTGCCCGGGTCCAGGCCACTTCGGTGGCATAAGCCAGGCAAGCGATGCAGGAGAAGGTGGTGGCAGCAATGGCATGGTCCCGGGAGCGGCCGTGAGACAAGAACTGGACGTATGTGGTAGGGTAGATGATGGAGGCCGAGAGGCAGAAGAGGGCGGCGTAGCAGGCGTAGGTGATGGGAAAGTTGCGCCAGGACAGGGGGAAGCGGGCCTGGAGCCCGCCTAACTCAACGATGAGGATGATGAGGGTCACGGCGAAGCAGAAGCACCAGGTAAACATGGACCAGTTACCCATGGCGCCCGTCCAAGCGCCAACACTGGCCACCAGCGAGAAGGCCACACAGGTGGAGATCAGCTGCAGCAGGCGGAGGAGGCCCAGGGGCTGGGTCAGTGCCCGAGCGGACCCCACGGTGGTCGGGAAGCCCAGGCCCGAGGACGACGACGTGGTCGTGATGGTGGTGCGGGTCACCGTCACCGGCATGGCTGGGTGGAGGGGAAAGAAGGTGTCCTAAGAAGGTTCCAAACTGGAGGATCCAGGCCCCCAGCACTTGCCTCCCTGGAGTGAGGGGGCGTGTGGACAACGTAATCTGGACCCTAGCTGAGGCATACCCAGGATGCAAGTTTTCATACTGGGCCAGTCCCAGCCCTCCAGGGATGAGGTGGTTGCCCGGTGCTAGCCTCCTCCTCCCTCCAGCCTCATGTCACAGCTCCAGAGTGTAGTCCCCTATCTCTTTTCTTCCCAGGACCCTCCTTTCCTCTCCCCAAAAGCCAACTCCTGTAAAACCACTTATCTTTCTTCCCACTCCAAACACACAAAGCTGCCCTCCTTCCCTCAGGGACTCAGCAACCCAGCCACTCAAGATTCTGCTCTAGGGACTTCCCTGGCAGTCCAGTGGTTAAGACTCTGAGCTTCCAACGCAGGGGGCGCAGGTTTGATCCCTGGTCAGGGAACTAGAGCCCGTGTGCCGCAACTAAAACCCAGCGCAGCCAAATAAATAAATAAATATATATTAAAAAAAAAAAGCAGCAGCAGCAGCAGCAGCAGCAGAAGAGGCCCTGTCTTCTGTGACCTCTTAGAAACTCCATCTCTGCAGTTCCTCCCTTTGGGTACCCAGGATGCTGCAGCCCAGCCTCTCTTTCACCTAACGGTCCTAAACATTTCCAGCCTCCAGACATTCAGGAGTCCAGCCCCTACATGGAAACCTTCTCAGGGACCCACATCTGATCAGAGCTTCCGTCCTTCCAGCCTGTCTCCTCTCACTAAGCAGGAGGCTGGCCCCAGCTCCTGGAAGACAAGAGCCCTCTCTCCCTTCTGGAACTGGGTCTTACCAATCTTGGCAGCACCCCTGCTATGGCCAAATGGATTTCGGTCTGGAGTAGTTCAACCCAAAGGAAGCCTCTCCCCCTTCCCCAACGTGAGGTCCAGCCCCCTAGTTCCCCAACTTCTGGGAAACTCAGCTCCCCAGATTCTCTCAGCTGGCCCAGTGCCACTGAAATCTCTAGTTCTCCCTCATTCAGAAATACAGCTTCAGACCCCAGGGCTCTGGGCCCTCAGCTGTGAGCACACCAGACTCAGGGAAATCAACTTCTTTCTTCTATCCCTTTAGAACCTTTGACTTTGATGTCCTTGTCCTAAAGACCCTCAGGAATGAAGGCCTGGCCTCAATTCCTGACCAGGTGTCCAGGTCCTCCCTCAGGCCCTAAAATAGCTAATCTCTTGGTTGCCACCTCTAAAAAGCTCAGAAGGCCTCTCTCAGCCCCGAGGCAATGCAACATCCTCCTTCCAGGTTCAGGAGGGCAGTGTCACACACAGCGTTTAGCCCAGCTGTCCCTGTACAATAGCTTCCTGGGGACACAGGAGGCCACAGCTGCTGAACATATTTCCTCCTCATATACACAGGTGTCTGGGCCCCTCTCTTTGGAACGCAAGGTCCCAGGTCTCAGGATCCAAGAGTCCAAGTCCCCAGCCCCTCCTCCTTCAGACGCAGGAGCACTGTACTCCCCAACTCTTATCTCAGAACCCAATGTTCAGGGCCCTCAGCCCGCTCCTTCCTCTGACAGAGCAGCTCAGGCCTCAGGTCCCTCTCCCTCAGACCCAGGAGTCCAGACCTCAGAACCTCTCCCCCCTCAGACCCAAGAGTCAGAGCCCCCAGCCCACTCACCAGCGGTCTTTGCTGAGGACCCCAGAGAAAGATCCGCCTCTGGAGGCTGATTAAGTCAGACACCTGGAAAAGGCTAGTCAGAGGACAGGAGGGAGAAACAACGTCAGCGTCCGCTCAGACCCGGCTCCACCCTCCCGGGACCCAGGCGACCAGCCGGCCTACTGCCCGGGGCTCGCCCAGAACGCGCGGTGAGGCCCCGCAGACCCTGGGCGCGTCTCCCAGCCAGGGCGGGGATTTGGCCCGGAGCCCCTAAGAGGTCGGGGATGGTGAACCCGGGGAAGCCCCGCCCCTTCTTCCCTCCTCTTTCCGCAAACTGCGAGGACGGGAGTGGAGGGACTGTAGCCAAAGTGCACGCCCCGCGGGCCGGCGTGGGCTTGTATGATCGTAACCCTGCCCCCACCAGGAAAGCCGCGGGACCGGCGGCCGGAGGGCCCTGGGCGGTGGCTGAGGGGGCGGGCTGCCCGGGCGGCGCCGCGTCTCCGTCCTTATAAGGGATTCAAGTCAGCCCAGCCATTTAGAATGTGGCGGGGACCGGGAGGCGGTGCTGGGACCCCCGCCCTGCTCGCGAATTCCGGCGGGGGAAGGGGGGCAGAGCCCGGGCGCCAGGTCCCAGGAGGAGAAGCCTGCACGTTCGAATTTCTGGGCCCTTCAAAATGTGAGTTCTGGGTCCCCATAAGGTGGGCCGGGAGCCTGGACGCCCCCCCAAGAGGGTCTCTAAGAGAGGAGTGGCTGTGTACCCGGACCCCTGGGTTCGCCTTGCGGACGCCTCCCGCCCCGCGGCGGGAAACTGCACAGTGTTGGAATCCAGTCCAGAGAGAGTGGCCACACCTCCCAGCACCTCCCGTAAGGCTGGTCTCCCAGCTACAGCTGGACCTCCCGGGCCACCTCCCGCTTCCCCCGACCCGTTAGGAGGAAGTTGGGACAGGCCCAGGAGGCAGAGGGCGGGCCACAGTCAGTTAAGTCTCCCCTGGAAGGTAAGTTAGCGCACGGACCACCCGGAGAGGAGGGGTCCGTCTCCACTCTCAGAGCCCCCAGCCGTCGCCTGAGGTCAGAGCTCAGGAAAGAACTGCCAGAGGCCCGAGGAGGGAGAGGAAAACACCCTTTGGCTTCCTGGAGAAGCTGGGGATTTCGCTGCCACGCCCAGTCCTCTCCCCACCTCCACGCCAGACACCACACCCCATCACTCCCCAAACTCAGAAGCGCGCCCTGTGCTCTCAGCACCAAGGGGCCCAGCTCCATCTTCACTTTGGGACCACGGGTGCTGAAGCTCCGTCTCTGGCCTTTTGAGTCTAAAGTTCGGATTCTGCCCCCTGGATGGGGAGGAGGTCAGTAATTCTGAACCCCAGCCACTCCCTTTCTCAAACCCAGGACTCCCAATTCCAAGCTTCTCCAGTCCCCCAGCCCCTCCTCCATCAGACCCAGGAGTCCGGGCCCCCAGTCCCCTCCTCCATCAGACCCAGGGATCCAGGCCCCTGGCCCCTCCTCCCTCAGACCCAGGGGTCCAGGCCCCCACCCCCCTCCTTTTTAAGATGTATGACCCGTATGAGTTCATGTCCCCAGCTCTCTCCTCTCCAGAACCCGAATCCTGACCCAGCCCATCTTTTAGGGACTGAAGACATTTGGAATCCCTCTGCACCCAAGAATCCTGGACGCTGCTCCCACTCTCGGGGGGTCCCGCAGCCTCACCTTACGGGCCTGTGGCGGCTGCGGCTGGTGCAGAAGCGACAGCTGCAGACTAGGAGGGTCTGCGGTCTGGGTGCGGTTGGAGGGCCGGGGAGTGAGCGCGGGCAGGGCTGGGGGCGGGGCCGGAGCTCTGGGCTGGAGCCGAGTGAGGGACACCCCCTGCCAGGGCTATCCCAGTCCCGCCCCGAGGGCGGGGCCAAGATAAGACCACATCCCCAGAGATAAATACACAGCAGCTCTCCCACCCCGCCAGCGGTAGGGGTGGAGGGCTGAGGTCACTGTTTCCGTGGTGACAAAACAGGAAGACACAACAGCTGGCGGAGTGGATGCTCCTGGGGGTGCCCTCCTCGACACAGCACTGGAGAAGTCTCCAGAGCAGGCCCGGGGAAGGCCGTTGCCATGGCAACCCGTCTATTTAGACTTTGTTTAGGACAGAGCCCCCCAGCTCAGGTCCCCACCCCAGTCTCACCTCAATCCGTTCTCCCTCTCCCTTCCTGGCCCCTCCCTCCTCCTCTGCTCTGGCCCTGCTCTTCCAGGATGGACGAAATTTTGGACTTCTAGGTCGCGGTGGGTTGGGGGACTGGGCCTCTCAATTTAATGGGGTCTGTTTGCTAGGGTCTGTGTCTCCTGGGTCCCTGAAATAGGAAAGAGTTGAGGGTGTGCCGATCCCTAGGCTTTAGGGGGTTTCTGGGCTGAGGTCCCCGACTCCTGGGTCCCCAAAAGAACAGTGGTTGGATTCCTGTAAGTAAGGAATTTGAGGGAAGAGCAAAATGGGTCTCCTAATGCTCATTTACACTGGGATTCGCGGTGTAAGGGACTGATGGGCCAGACCCCTAGGTCCCATATGTCCCTGTCGATGGGGGCAGGGGAGGGGCGTTGTTGGTAGCAGGACTTCTGAGATCGAGGCCATAGGAGTTGGGGGCATGGACTCCCAGGCCGCGGGCCCAGAATCCTGGCTCAAAAGAGCAATTGCGGCTCCGGCTCCTGGGTTTTCGGAGCAGATGTGGTTGCTAGCCAAGCCTCTTGGGTCTGTAAGGGAGAGATATTTTTGGCTTGCAATCCTGGCTCCTGGAAAGAGGGAGGGGCTCAGAAGCTTAATGAGGACGAGACTGGGGGCTGGGGGTGCCAGATTCCTGTTTCCTGCAAGAGGGGAGGGCCCAAGGGGCTGGTCTGCCCGGGCCCCAGAGCACGGGGGTCCTTTTTTAGGGGCGGCTCTGGGGCCCTGAGACGGATTGACAGAGCCAAGAAGCAGGCGGGAGCTGAAGGTGGGGATGCACTGCCCGGGGCTGGGGTGGGGCGGGGACAGGGACGCCCGGGTCCCTCCCTGCTGGCCGGGCTCACTCACCGCGCTCTGCAGTCGTCCCCGGCGCGGCCTTGCTCTAGGCTGCCGCTGGGCGGGGCCTCGTGGCGGCCGCGGAGGCTCGGCGACCGGCAGCTGCCCGCGTTGCTACTGCTGGGTGTCTTCCAGGCCGACTACTGAGAAGGCTTTGAGGCCGAGTACCAGGGTGGAAGACTCTCGCGTCGCGAAGGGAGGGGTCCGAAGGGATGCGGGAGCTCTGTGTCCCCGGCTGCGTGCCCTACGGAGGTGGGAGGGGCTGGGGGGGGGCACCTGGACGCTGTGTGCTCTGCAGAAGTT